GGGGGGGGGGTTGGTGCAGAGGACGCCGCACTTGCAGTCAGCGCTTCTGGGTGCACTTGCCGGACTCGGGGAGAAAGAGGCGGTGGCGGTCACCCAGTCAGGGCTTTTGGCGGGGGGGATTTGGTGGGGGGGTGCACTTTGGCGCCCTAAGGGCCTGCCCGCCCTAGGCGAATGCCTAGTTCGCCTAGTGAGTGAGCTGGCCCTGCGTGTTATGACTACCAATGTCAGGCCCAACTCTTCTGACTTGCCAGTTCAACCACAAAAGACAACAGTGGCAGAGTACTACATATGAGCCTGACTGCAAGAAGCTTAGTGAGCTAGGAAAGGTTGCTGGTGATTGTCATCACCCACCATTGGAGCCCATGTCAAGGAACAGAAACTTTGTCTCCCTATTTAGAGCAGCCCAAGAGCTGTTTTGGGATTGAAGACAAGGAAATGACCTTTGTGGGACTTGAACAGGGAGGACCCAGCGGTTGTACAAGTAATGCTAGTCTGGAAGCTGCTAAACTCCTTCTTGGCGTCCTAGTATACATTTATTTTGGTTTCTTGCCCAGTTGCCTGAAGCAGGGGGAGGAGATAGATATGGGAACCAGCCGGTCATGGGAAGTGAACAACTTATGTTGGCCTTTGTGGGGAACTGGGCTGGGCATATTGAAGCTCCCTGCTGGGAGTTGCTTTTACTGGGTGAGACATCTTTTGCACTTGGATTCTGCTCTGGCTGAGTGGCTAAAAACGGTGAGGAAGATTCAGAAGCAAGGCCCCAAGTTAGCTTTCATGCACTCGAATAACAGTGCCCTTATGTTGGTGATCTCAGCTGTCAGGACTTGAAGTTGAGAAGGACTGCCTGTTTTCCGAAGATGGTGGACAGCATTGACTAGTGATACAATTTCACTGCCAGAAATTGATTGGGACAGGTTTTTAGCCGGATCTTCTCAGGGACTAGTGGGAAGAAGTTATCAATAACCTTTTTTGTGAGTGTGTATTTGACTTCTTTTGACAGCACTGGAATTCCACTTGTCTCTAAATCTCCATGGCAACAGCACAGGCCTCTCATGTGACCTGTGTCCCTATCAGTTCTCTCTCTGAACCTTATTCTCTGGACTCTGAGCCTGACAACGACTACAACATGGGCAGTGTGGGCAGCCTAGTGGAGAAGCAAGACTTCTCACCAGCTACACTAGGAAGTCTGCGAGGGATGCGCCAGCCAGATGGATTGCTCCGGAAAGGAATGTCACAGCGTGAAGTCTTTGGCTACTTACATGGAGGAAAGAGAGACACTCGGGCTGAGAAGAAGCACCAGTCATCTGGTGGAGGCTTTAAACGGGATTACGAGAGTGACCGGGAGAATCAGTCTCCTGAACGGTATTTCCGGGACAACCAGCGTGGGGCAGATTTTTCCAAGAGCTCTCTGCCTGAACGTGGACGCTTTGATAAGGTGAGGGAGATGGTGGTGTGGAAATAGTAAGGAAGGGAGCGTCTCTTGACAGAGTGATGAGAAGAAATGTGGACAAAGGTGTATTTTTGCCATGTCCCCATTGCTCTATATGTAGTAGGGATGTGCATTCGGTTCGTCCGAACTGAATGCACCCCCGAAAATGGGCCATTCGGACCCCTTTTGGGCTGCTGCAGGCTGATTCACTGATCTGAATTGGCTTGCTGCCGAATTGCCATCGAATTTCAGTGGCAATTCGGCCCCATTATATCCTATGGGCCATTGAAGTCAATAGCGAAAACATAAGGTATATTCTGGGGGCTGGAGGGGAGGGGGTTTGAGGGAGAGGCTCCAAAACTCACAGTGTAGCTGCTGCAGCCTCTCCCCCCGTAGAATTGGACCCCCTTGTCCAATGCTCTTGAAACTTGGTTGTTATCTTGGGGAGAGGCTCCAGCAGCTACCCTGCGAGTTTGGAGACTCTCCCTAAAGCCTCCTCCCCTCCAGCCCCCAGAATATACCCTATATTTTCGCCATTGACTTCAATGGCCCATAGGATATAATAGGGCTGAAATTGACATTCGGCTGGCTGAAAGACTCCCCAATCTGCTGGTACTGACGAAACTGACATGCGGGAGTCTTACTGCCAGTCAAAATTGATTCTGCCCGATTCCGCCGAATCTGAATGGGCTGAATTTTATTTATTTTTTTGCACACCCCTAATATGTAGTAGTTGCATAACATTTCTGGGCTCATGGCTTGTTAAAGCATAAAGCCTCTAGCTTCACTGAAAGTCCAGCAGTGTGTGATGCTGGTTTGCTGGAGCAGTTCTGTGTCCTAGAATTGCACTAGAGCAGTGGGAAAAGCTAAAGAATAAATGAACTAGCTACGGTTGCTTTAGAGGAGGCTGGGCTGACAGACCCTGCAGCATATCTGGCCCACAGCCATAGCCCCTGGTAGTAGCCCAAAGGTAGACCTTCACATGCTGCTGCCCCAGCAACCAACACTTGAATCTGTAGCTGTGTACAAACTGTCACTTTGAAGCTAGTTGCCGCTTGGTCTTCCTAGTGCTGACAGGAGAGCTGTCCCAGAGTCATCTGCATCACCACAGTGGACCCTAGGGTTGTTTCTCTATTCCAGTACTGAGGACCGACTGGCAGACTCAGAAGCAATGTGTGACTCCACTATGTTGTGTTTAGTATGTGTATCACTGCTTCCCGAGTTAAGTCCTGAGGAAGTAGTACAAGTCATACTTAATGCAGTGTGCCCGAGAGTTGTGGTCTACTTGTGAGCTGGCCAGCTGCCACTCTGGCACTGAAATAGAGAGAGAGACTACCCAGGCCTTTGCAGTGATACAGAGGACTCTGTGGCATCTCTGCATTCAGCACTGGGAGGGCGGGGGTGGTGGTTGCCTGGCTAAAAACAGCACCTGTCGTGGTGCTGCTGGCTAGGCAGCAAGAAGTAGCGGTATTAAAGTTGCCACAAGCACACAACGCACAGCTTCTGACCCTTTCAACATGAGAGAAACTACTTCTTTTGGGATGTCTTCTCTTTTTGTGTTGAGGCTGCCCTCCAGCTTCTTTACTCTGTAGATGGGATTATTCCTGGTAAACTGCTTCAGAGGGTGGGGTGGGGCCTGCAGCCTGGTGTCCAGGCCTCCCATGGCAGAGAAGCTGGTCATCCCAGCTTGAGCAAGTTGTGTGCTAACTTCAACAGCTGAAAGAGGTTGATATAAGTTGGAGGGAAGAGACATGGGATGAGTAGGCCAACGTTACAGCCTTATTCCTGGTAAACTGCTTCAGAGGGTGGGATGGGGCCTGCAGCCTACGTGGCAGGAACATGTTGACCTGAAGGACAGTTACATGGAAGATCACAAAGATGCATTCTTCGCTGCTCCAGAGGACAACATTAAATCTAATGGGTTTAAGTTACAGAAGGTTAGATTTCAGTTGAACATTAGAAGAAAATTCCTAATGGTAGGGGTGATGTTACAATGGAACTAGGGGATAAGTTGGCTCTCCCACAATGGAAGTCTTTTAAGCAAATGATGGATAACCATCTGTCAGGAAGGTTGTTGCTTAAAAACTCCTGCATTGAGTGGGAAGCTGATGGCCCATAAGGCCCCTTCCAACTCTAGAACATTATGATTCCTCCCCTTCTTGCTCTGCTAAGTGACACTAAGGTGAGACATTTGCTAATAGCTTTTGTGTTTTCCAGTGTCGGATCAGGCCCTCAGCCTTCAAGGTCATGTCTGGGAAGAACTTGTTGTCCATGCAGGGACTGTCATCGTCCAAAGGGCAGAAGCTGTCAAAGAGCAACGGGAGTCTGCATACACTGTTGACACAGAGCAGCACTGGCAACTCCTCGCAACGTGGCCCGCTGCGCAGCCATTTGCTGCACACCATCAGCCTGGACGAGGGCACCAATTCCATCCAAAGCTTTCCTACATACAACCCTCGCTTCAAACCAGCCCCAAACCAGTTTAGTGCTTCGGTAGGCCACATCAATCACATTGGTGGTTCCTTAGACAGGGCGTCACGTGGGCCGCGGGATCCTTTGGCTGTAGAGAAAGCACCATTGTCCTGCAAGAGCTTGAGCCGGCTGCAGAGTTCTGGGGAACCACCTCCTCCTTATGAGCCCACGTACTCTCTGGAAGATGTGGTAAAGCAGCTTGAGGACCGGCTGAGTGAGAAGGGCATGGAACTCCGCCAGCTTACGAGGAACTTACATGTGAACAATGACCCCTTTGCACAGGTGAGTGAAATTCCAGCACAGCGGTCACTGAGTTCCCCGTTCCCCATTTTGCCTCTGCTTTATCCTCCATTTCGAAAGCTCTCCATCCCTAACTTCCATCACTTTCATCCAGGTTGCCCTTCTCCAGACTTATAAATAGCCATTTGCCTGTCTGCCTGTGATGAATAAGAATCGCTCCAAGGCAACCAAGCTGGGAAGCTTTGTGGATTTGGAAGAGTTGTGGTTTTTTTCTCTTCAGGCTTTCAGTGTACCACAAATTACTGACGTGGACATGTGTGGGCAGGTGGGCTAGTAAAAATGTTGGCAGGTTCCTCCTCCATGTCTGCCTTCTACTCCAGGAAACATTTCCAGTAAAAATATTTGTGGGCTTAGTCTGCTTTTTGTCCCAAACAACTGCTGCTAGCCTAATCCTTAAACCCACTTTCAGTTTCTTGTGCTATATAATCCACAATGGAGTCCTGGAATGCATTTCCATAAGAGAAGATGTTTATGACTCCCCTGAGTAGTTTATGGTCGACTGTGTGTAAGTGAGATGGAAGAGCAGTGTGTGTTGTACTGATGGTGTTTTTTCAGGGCCATACTGTAGTTTTGTGTTATGTCTGCTGTACTATTGCTGGCAAATCTATATGAGGGAAGGTCAGGTTGTAAAATAACCTTCCAAACAGGTTTACTACTTGGTACTAACTCACAGATGCTTACTATTTGGTCTACCCACAGAACACCTCTATAAGTAATTTGTATGGCCACAAGGAAAGGCATTTTGAAAAGTATTTTAGCCCAATTGCCTAGTGGTAATTCATATTCCCTTTGTTGTTCAGTCGCACAGTCGAGTCCGACTCTTCGCGACCCCATGGACCAGATCACGCCAGGCCTTCCGGTCTTCTGCCGTCCTCTGAAGTTTGCTCAGTTTCATGTTCGTTGCATCAGTGACACTGTCTAACCATCTCATCCTTTGCCGTCCCCGTCTTCTTTGACCTTCAATCTTTCCCAGCATCAGGGTCTTCTGCTCCAGTGAGTGCTCCCTTCTCATTTGGTGGCCAAAGTATTTGAGCTTCAGTTTCATTATCTGGCCTTCCAGGGAACCGTCAGGGTTGATTTCTTTTAGGATTGACTGATTTGATCTTCTCGCAGTCCAAGGGACTCTCAAGAGTCTTCTCCAGCACCATAGTTCAAAAGAATCTATTCTTCGGCGCTCGGCCTTCCTTATAGTCCAACTCTCGCAGCCATACATGACTACTGGGAATACCATTGCTTTGACCATGCGGACTTTTGTTGGCAGGGTGATGTCTCTACTTTTTATCATGCTGTTGAGGTTCGCCATCGCTTTCCTCCCAAGGAGCAGGCGTCTTTTAATTTCATGGCTGCTGTCACAGTCTGCGGTGATCTGGGATCCCAGGAGCGTGAAGTCTGTCACTACTTCCACGACTTCCCCTTCTATTTGCCAAGGAGAGATGGGGCCGGATGCCATGATCTTAGTTTTCATATTCCCTACGTTCTTTCAATTTACCCATCTATCTGTTAGTGTTTATCCTCCTCTTCTGCCAAGGAGCTCAGGGCAGCATATATGGTTCTCCCTCCCTTGTAGGTGAGGCTGAGAGGTGACTGGCTCAAAGTTACCAAATGGGTTTCATGACTGGAGGTTTGAACTTGGATCTCCCAGGTCCTAGTCCAAATCGCTAACCATTCTACAACACTGGTTAATGATGCTTCATCGCCCTTTCTGTTTTGATTTAAAAACCCTCTTTTTTTGCTAATATGAGGAATACAATCAGGTGAAGGAAAGAACTGTGCAGGTTGTAGTCTGGGACTATATCCCGAACTACTGCTGCCACAAGTGTGTGCCTTCTCTCTGTCAAAGGACAACTGGCAGACCATGAAATCCCTGTAGATATGAGCTGTGGTCCTGGGTTTAATTTGACAGTTGATAATTTTTCCCCCTGCGGTGATCTTGGGCTGTGTTTTATTCCTCCACCCTTGAACAGCTGGGCAGTAACTTCACATGAATATTATAAAGCTGCTCCTTTCCCATTTTAAACAGGCATGCAGACATCTATCATACATATATAATCGGGCTACTTATAAGTAGCTCCCTTGTTCTGAAACAAGCCATAGTACTTCTGCCCTAGTCCTGTCTAAAGTACTGCTGTTTAAGGATGCCGTGGATTAAGCCTAGGACAGTGGTGGCGAACCTATGGCACGGGTGCGAGAGGTGGCACTCAGAGCCCTTCTCTGTGGGCACGCGTGCCATCGCCCCAGCCAGGCCCAGACCATCATTAAAGTGTCGAATTCTCTGCCAAATAATTTTAAGTAAATGAAAGCATTTGGGATTGCTTTCCTTACTTTGTTTGGATCATCTTAAGTTAATGTATGCGTTGGTTTTTTCTAAAGTAAAACCTCAGTATTCAGGTTAAATTGCTGTGTTGGCACTTTGCGATAAATAAGTGGGTTTTGGGTTGCAGTTTGGGCACTCAGTCTCTAAAAGGTTCGCCATCACTGGCCTAGGACCTTCAGCGCACAGAAGAAGATACCCAACAGCCCTTTCCTGAGAGAAGTGGATTTGCCTTCCATGGAAGGCGTGTGCTTTATGGGGTGGGAGAGCTCTCTCACTTGAGGCTGACCTCCATTTCTCCTCCATGATTTTCTTTTTTTATTTGCATAGATGTTTGAAGACAAACAGCGATTGTGGATGGAGGAGCTGGAGGAACTGAAGCAGATGTACGTGGCCAAGTTGCAGCAAGTAACACAACAGGCCCAGCGCAGCCAGCGAGCCCTTCAGCTGCAGCTCTATAAGGTGCAGCAGGAGAAGAAGCGGCTGCAAGAAGAGCTGGAGCTCCAACAGAGTCAGTGTGAAGAACTGAGGCAACGGCAGCAGCAGGCAGAGCGTCTCAGTCCCAAGCTGGAGGAGACCAAGTGGGAGGTGAGGATGAAGAGGGTTTGTAAAGGGAGCGGCACCCCACCCCGAATTAGTCCTTCTCCATTGTGACTCTGGCTGTTGGTGCCTTCTGCAAGCAAAAAGGAGTGGGGGTGTGGGGAACCAAAAACAAAACCAATGAGATGCAGAATCCTTTAACAGAAAATTCTCAGTTCCTCTATATATGTCATGTAGTGTAGGAAATGTTTCATAGGAACACAAAACATACTTTCATAGACAGTCTGCCCCATTGGTTTGATTTTTATTAGGGAAATGGACCCCTTTTGCCTTCCAGGAATGTTTGAGGTTATTAGAGTTTGAGAAGCTTTTAAAATGTCTTAGTAGGTCCATGTGGGAATGTTACAAATAACGTGTATGCTTATATTAAAACATACTTCTGTCTTTGAAGATTCCCAACCTAAAGATGAATAGCAAAAGATACAGAGTTGAGAATTTTCTGTGAAATAACTGCTTTGCATTTTGTGGATTTCTCCTAAACGTGAAATACTGTTATATTCTGCCTCTCCACGGAGTCCTTGAGGTTATGCATGGGACTGCTGATGTTCAAACTGCCCCCATCTAAGAGTGCAGCCAGGGTGCCAGTGATAACGAACTCCCATGTGTCTTTGTGAAGCAGATTAGCTTTAGCTAATTAGCTCAATTAGGTAACTGGGAAAGTGACTGGGGGCTGCTGCACATGGCTTACCCAGTTAAGGAGCCAGGTTTCAAATGCAGTCATACCAAAGTCTCCCTGAGTATGTTCATAATCCCCTCTGAGCCTTTTCCCCATCTCTCTTCTTTTCTAAGAATTCTAATTGTTGTTTCATTGACTACAGTGTGGCCACAACTCTGGTGTTTGGAAATATCTTAGCTTCCCAACTTTTGCTGCTTCAGTGGATCATCAGTTCTCCCTCTGTAGTGTACTCCCTGATTCTCACTTTGCATGTAATCTTTTGGCAGGTTTGTCAGAAGACTGCGGAGATTTCATTGCTCAAACAGCAAATCCGAGATACCCAGGAGGAGATGACCCAAAAGCTAGGTGAGATCTTCAGCTTGAAGTCCCAGCTGCGGGAGGCCCGGACAGAGTTGCAAGTCAAGGACTCACAACTGGTGCATTTGGGGGACTCTTTCCAAGCCTTGTCAGAGCACGGTTCCCCCCTTCCTCCAAGGGACTCCTCAGTGCAAGCATGCCAGGACTTTTTGGGGTGTGAAACGGATGACTCCAAATGCAGGGGAATGCAGGGGGAGAGTGCAGAAGGCCCAGAGTGGCTATGGGCAGAGCTGCTGCGGGAGAGGCACCAGGCTCAGCTGCAAGCTGCAAACTTTGAGCAGGAGCGAAAAACCTGGCAACAGGAGAAGGAGAAAGTTCTGCGCTATCAGCGGGAGATTCAGGCCAGCTACATGGAGATGTATCACCGGAACCAGGCCCTGGAAAGGCAGCTCAGTGAATTCCGGCAGCTCCAAGCTGAATCCAGAGGTATCAACTCGGAGTCACCTTGGATTGAGAGAGTTGAGTCCTCAAAGATCTGAACAGACTATATGGGAGAGGCCCTGTGCTGGGACTGCACAAGTTTGGATAGGCCACACTGCATTGTGTGCCCAAAGGATCCGGTACAGGAAGTTGTTAAACCAAGGGGCTTATCAGCCAGGCGAAGAAATTTGCTCTTGTAACCTACGGGGTCGCCATAAGTCAGCTGCAACTTGACAGCACTTTACACACACAAAACACACATAGGCACTGTAACCCTTTCTGTAACCATTAGGGTTTTGCAGACTGTTGCCATGCATGGCATAAAGTTCCAGCATCACATCTGGCACTTTTAGCCCTTCCACATAGGCTGTTGCCTTCTGTCTTGGAGGGCAGGATGCTTTCCTGCTATGTCCTCTCTCTCTCGTGCTCACATTGGCACTACCTTTCAGGATGGAATATTTGTTACTGTGGAATGCGCATAGACTCTGGCCACCGTTGATAACACCTGCTGGGGAAAACCAATGAGGAATGTGTATATGGGGCTGTACCACCCTGTCCTTTCATAGCTTGACAGTTGGCCTGTTGTACAAAGGAGGAGAAATTGACAGCAAACCCACCTCGGCATGAGTCCTGCCTGCCCTAAACAATTTTGTTCTCTCTCCACCTGGCTTGTCTTCATACTATGCCTGATTTTAAAGCTCCAAATGTGACCTGATTGTGTGTGCCTTGTATTGGAAATGACTTGTATTGTATGACACACAAACTCCACAAAGGCCAGACTCTTGGGCTCAGCCACCCCAAAGGCCAATGCCATGTCTGCTTGGTCTAGTGTTTCTCGATTGGCAATGAGTGAGTACAGGGGCTGTGGGCACCTTCTGTTTGGTTGCTGCTTGGTGCCCCAGTTCTAGATTTGAAGGTCCTAGCCAGAGTTATGAGCCATAAAGTAGAAGCTCTTCCTGGCAACTCCTGGAATAAAATTATGTCTGACACTTCTGGTTCCATGACTGTTGCTTTCTCTTTTCTGCTCCTGGCACTGTAAGCCATCACATTCACACTCTAGCGGATGTTCACAAAAGATTACATGCAAGCTAAGTAATGACTTGTATTGTATGACACACAAACTCAACAGAGGCCAGACTCTTGGGCCCAGCCACCCCAAAGGCCATGGGCCAATGCCATGTGTGCTTGGTCTAGTGTTTCTCTATTGGCAATGAGTGAGTACAGGGGCTGTGGGCACCTTCTGTTTGGTTGCTGCTTGGTGCCCCAGTTCTAGATTTGAAGGTCCTAGCCAGAGTTATGAGCCATAAAGTAGAAGCTCTTCCTGGCAACTCCTGGAATAAAATTATGTCTGACACTTCTGGTTCCATGACTGTTGCTTTCTCTTTTCTGCTCCTGGCACTGTAAGCCATCACATTCACACTCTAGCGGATGTTCACAAAAGATTACATGCAAGCTAAGTTGCTCTGCAATCTGTTCTTACAGTTTTGCACAAGCCAGTCAGCCAGCACAGTAGGATGTGGCGCCATGCATATATAGCAGGAAGGTTGAATGCTCTGTCCCTGGTGGTAGTGTTGAAAGGGAGGTTTTAGGGTGCATCTATCTTTAAACCAAACAAGGAACCTATAGTGGTGGTGCTCTGAGAAGGGGAAAATTATTTATTTATATCCCATTTTTCTCCCAAAAGGGGACCCAAAGTGGTTTACTATACAAAACAGGAGGGGGGAAGTCTTTGGAATGCAGAGCAGGTCTTTCTCCCTGCTAGCAGATCTTCCGTGCAGATTTAAAGTAAGAACCTCAGGCCGAGAGCCCTGTGGCTTCCACTGGCACAAGCCCAGGTCAACATGATGTAGTGATCAGAGTGCTGGAGTAGGCTCTGGGGATACTGAAGCTCAGATCCTCACTCTGCCACAGAATCTTGCTGGGTGACCTTGGCCCAGCCACTCTCCCTCAGCCTAACTTACCTCACAAGGCTGTTGTGAGGATAAAATGGAAGGGGGGGAGAATGATGTAAGCCGCTATAACCCCATCGGGGAGAAAAGTGGGGTATAAACGTTTAGTACGTGTGATTCAGACAGATCTTTACTCTGCTGCTGCTGCTGCTGCTAGCTAGCTAGCAGGGTCGGAGAGAATGATGTAAGCCACTATAACCCCATCGGGGAGAAAAGTGGGATATAAACGCTTAGTGCCTGTGAGCAAAGGAGAAACAGATTCAGACAGATCTTTACTCAGCTGCTGCTGCTAGCTAGCTAGCAGGGTCTTCCCTGCTTCTTCCCATGTCATGTTGTGGTGCCTGCCATCTGCACCTTCTCCCTGAGTTTTAGAAAAGCTCTTGCTGGTAAGGGCAGTGCAAGGCTGAACTCTCATCCTGATCCCAATTAGGCACACTTATCTTTACATGTCGGATCAAGATGTGTGCTGTACAAATAAAGATATAGACATGTATAATGTCTGTGAAATAAATGAATTTAAGAATGGTAGTGATACATTGGGAGGGAAGGTGGCATGGTATAGCCTGATTGTGTCAGTTCTCAGAATCTAAGCAGGGTTAGTACTTGGACAGGAGACCACCAAGAAAGACTCTGCGGAGGAAAGCGATGGCAAACCACCTCTGCTTCTCACTTTGAAAACTCCTTGCTGGGGTTGCCATAAGTTGGCTGCAACTTGGTGGTACTTTTACACACATACAGAGAGAACAGTAAGTTGGTAAGGCCTTCTGCAAGAGTATGATACCTCCATCCTTATTCACCACAGAGGAGAATGTTGTTCAAGTAATTGAGGGAGTGAAGCCAAAGACCTGTTTTCATAAGTTCCCAGTGCAAAGATATTATCAACTCCCTTAAAGCATGTTGCTTTTGGACTGCCACCACCCAATATAGTGCATCAATCCTGGAGCGGAGAGCCCTCTTAAATGACGTTGCTGTGATTGGTTCTTATCCCTGATGGCTCTTCAGGTATGTATGGCGTTCTGGTTGAAAGGAGTCTTGTGGTACTCAGCTGCATCACTTGCTTTTTCTCTGTGATCCCTGCTGCAATAGCTGACCTGGTTTGTTTGTTGCCATCAATACCATGCTTGGAGGTTAACCATGGCAGTATCGCTGTTTGCAGCAATCAGTTTTCTAAATTAGAAAGCAGACTGCCTGATAGCTGATTTTATGCATTTTATTGGAGCAAGTACCTTTGCTGGGTATGGAAGGATCCAGTCCTATGTAACAATTCACGGTTTGCAGGTCCTTCCCTGCAAAATCCTCTCTAAATTATAGTGGAGCTGAAGCATCTAAGCTTTTGATAATTTATTCATCTGATAAGTTAGCTGAACTTCACTGTCACCTCCCTATCACCTCTAGAAATCTAATGCCATTATTGAATAGTTATGATATGTACATGGCCAGTGTCCAAGCCACCCGCAAAAAGCCATGGGCCTGGCCAGCTTAATGAATGATGAAAAAGGACTGCATAACAGCACAACCCCAGGAAAGGGGATGTGCTTCCTAGCAGTCAAGCTGGATTTGACTCCCTTGGTCCTAGGAAACTGCTACGGCCAGGCTCGTTTTTCTTGTAGGACAGCTGGCTGTTGAAATAGTTTGTTTGTTTCACTGTGCCCACGCCAGTCCAGGACTCTGTTGGCGCCTCACTCCAAAAACCCTGCAGCAGGTTTCCACCCATCAATTAGAATTGTGGGGAGGTGAAGAACAACCCAACAGAGGGCGGCACCAAAACTTGGCAGCAGAGCCAGAAACCAAGCTGCTGGCTCAGATGCCACAGGGAAGAGTCGAGGCGTCGCAAGAAGAAGCGGGAGTGTCCACCTCTTAGGGCTGCCAGACAAACCAGTTTCCTGAATTCCAGGAGACTGATTCATTCCCTCTAAGCAGCTGGGGCCCTGGCAGGTGCCACTGATATGAGCAAGGCTACAGTGCTACAAGGCTGTGATCCAAAAACCCTTGGAGAGCTCAAGCACCCTGGGCCCCTGCAGCCATCTGGGGCCTTTCCGCCAAAAGCCTCTAACAGCAACTTCACCTCTTTGGCCTCAAGCCCAGAAACCTGGTCTCCATGGCCTCTCCTACCATGCAGACAGGCATGTTACTCTGGCTTCCCCTTTACATGTCTTACCCAATTTCAGGCCCTTTCCCTCAGGCATGATGTTATATCCAGCATTTCTCTTTTAGTCTGTCTTGCCATGAGGATTCTTCCTGATTATCGGGATGCTTGCTCAGTTTTCCAGATCTATAGGTGTACATCAATCACCATCCCCCTTTCCATCTTATAAACAGCAAATACTCGGACACTGAAGATTTCTTGTCCCAAGCCAAGCCACATTTGCCATAAGTTGTCTCCTGTTACTTCCATCACTTTGGCCTCTGTCCAAGAGGCAGATTGGCTGTTGATTCACCTAAATCTTTAGTACAAGGGAAACAAGCAGGTGTTTTTGTACAGAGTTCCTCCCCCCATATGCCCAATTGTTGTGCATAGGCCAAAGTTATTTTGACTGCCCCCCAAGCAGTCCAACCAAATTTTAATAGAACTACAATGCCAGAGGTGGGCTAGCCATTATGACCATAAAGTTGCCAAACCAGATCAGTGATCAATGTATTTATTTAAACCACTTGTCTCCACAAGGTCACTTATACCAAAACTAACATAAACCACAATATATACTGTATAAATGCATACAACAACAAATATCCCCAACAATGATTTAAGATTAAGGGTTTTGCTGTCAGGGTATAACGAAGGAAGAAAGACTGATGCTGTCAGCTGCACTGAGTTCCCACAGTGGGTATATCCTACTGTCTTAACATCCGAACTGTGTTAGTTCGAGCCCTGCGCTGGTGTGAGCAACCAGCCTGTTGTCCCCAGCTCATCCTTCACCCAGCGATTCGAAAGCTTCGGCGAGTAGATAAAATGGGAACCACTCCTTAGAGAGGGTGGGCACACCAATCTCCCTTGTGGGAGGGTGTTAGCTGACGGTCGGGACGTCCTGGTCGAGGTTCGGAAAAGGCGGAAGAACTTCTCGGCTACAAAAATCCCTGGAGTGGATGTTTCCAGCCAGGCGGTGGCAGTGTGGCGATTTGACATATGGGTCCTGAAGCCTCGTCGACAAGCAGCCGTTCAGAAAATGACTGAGCCAAGCCAGAAGACGTTTACACCGTGCAGTGACAGCGTGTGCAATTAAAATGAATATATTTTGTCTTCGCTATCCCCTATGAACATTGTTAGTCCCCTGTCTAAAATGTGTAACTACATCGCTTTGAGCCCACTGGGGAAAGCGATTAATAAATTGAAAGTATTATTATTATTATAAAATAATAATAATAAAAGGGGGGTATAAATGTCCCAATAAACAACCAACCAGTTGGAAAGACCAAACCACTATCTTTCTAACATCCCTAGGGACAACTAGGAGGGCATGAAGGACAGTCCAGTAGGGTCTACTTTGACAGTAGTTCTCCAAAGCACCAAACATGAGGCCTTATGCATAACTATGTATAACTAAGCTACATATCTTCCAGTCAAAGTGTGAAAGACATTTTATTCACATATTTACTAGGAAGGAAAGATTGTCTTAAGACATCTACACTGGAATGCTATGTTTGTCTTATTTTAAAGCTTTTGTACATCTTACCCCAGTTGACAGAAATTCAGAAAAGTAAGATGATGCCTTGAGTGTTTCATTCGAGTTTAGTATATTCTTATTGTCTATACTAGGCAAAAGACTGTCTGCTGAGGGGATCTTGAGATTAGTTTCTCTCCCCAGATTTGCTGACCTTGTACAGCCCAAGCATACAGACTCCAGAATTATGAAGTGTTAGGTATTTAGGTATTTCCAGCTTTATTACTGTTATAAGCCTTGACCACTAATGAGGGAGTCAAAGGAATAAAACACATTTTGAGGGCCCAAACCTCAGTGCGATGAAGACAGTGCTTCTTGAAGCTATTATTACAGTATGACAAGTGTATTTGCTAATAGAGGATACTGTCATGTATCTGATGAAGCAAGCTCTAGCTCATGAAAGGTTATGAAATAATAGTCTTTAAAGTGCCACACGACTCTCTCATGTTATGGCACATAGAATAACATTAGAAAAAAGAAGCCTCTGCCCTGAGGAGCTTGCAGTTTGCCAGTGGGAAGGGAAGAAATTGGCTGCCTCTTCCTTATCCAAAAGAAATTAACCATTTAAGAGGTCCCAGGAGAAAAGCCTGGTTCTTGTACTGAGTACACTAAAATTAACACCATCCAGTAAAGCACACTGTAATCTGACAGCCCTGCAGACCACAAACACGGAAACAGTTAATAAATGCAATTATAAGATTGTTCTACTGAGGGAAGGCAGCATGGTATAGCCTGATCTTGTCAGTTCTCAGAAGCTAAGCATGGTCAGCACTTGGAGACCACTAAGGAAGGCTCTGCAGAGGAAAGCAATGGCAAACTACCTCTACTTCTCACTTGCCTTGAAAGCCCCTTCCTGGGGTTGCCACGGATCAGCAGTGACTTGACAGCACTTTACACACACAAGATCTTAGATCATGCCAAATTTAGGATTCTGTAGTCTGGGAACAAAACTGGATTCTTATTATTTCTGTTAGAGAACTACTTTTTAGCTATACCGTTCCGAAAGTGGCATACAACAACGTTAAAACAAAATCAATGATACATTTGTATGCTACATAATCCAGAAGGAGATACTTAAAAGGTTGGCAATGTTTTTAAAAAAATTTCACTGCCCTTAAACGGGTCAAGGGTGTAGAGCTGCTGGGTTTCCCTGGGAAGGGAGTTCTACAAAGACGAAGCCATTCCCAAGGCTGCTATCTAATGGAATTATCATCTTGTTTGTTCATTCGCTTTGTATCCTGCTCTCCCTCACTATCCTGGGGCTCAGAGTAGGTCACAACATGTAATAACAAAATTAGAATACAATTAAAACAAACCAATTTAAAACAATTCCAAACATTTACAGAGTATCAGGTGGCACATAATAACACCATAACACTGACCCAGGAGAAGAAAAGGAGAGGAGAAGGCAGGAGAGAGTGTATAGGTAGGAATTCTCCCGACCTCACCCATATGCTTGGTGGTACATTTCCGTTTTAGAGGCCCCACAGAACTGTACCAAGTCCCGCAGGGTCCGGATCTCATTTGGAAGTGCTTTCCACCAAGCTGGAGCTACAGCTGAAAAGGCTCTAGCTTTAGTTGAAGTCAGGTGAATACTCCTTGGTCCTGGGATCATCAGTGTGTTGTTGTTCAAAGAATGTAGTGTTCTTTGGGGGGCATGCCAGGAGAGGTGGTCCCGAAGATATGTTGGTCCCAGACTGTGAAGGGCTTTAAAGGTTAAAACCAACATCTCGAACTTGATCCGGTACTCTATCTGGAGCCAGTGCAGCTGGTGAAGCAATGGTTGGATATGGGCTCTGATAGGGGTTCCTGTAAGGACCTGCGCTGCCACATTCTGGACCAGCTGAAGTTTCCAGGTCAGCCTCAAGGGTAGCCCTATATAGAGCAAGTTACCATAATCTAGTCTGGAGGTGACCATTGCATGGATCACTGTGGCTAGGTCAGAGTGAGATAGGAAGGGTGGGCAACACAGGCTCATTTAGAGCTCAGTTCTTATACCTGTCGGACATTTCCTTAAAAAAGCTTAGATCTAGGTTGCTCACAGCATCTTTGTTGTGGCTCAAAACTAAGCATCAAGGAATGGCAACATTCTCCATCTTAGATTCGGTTAAAGGTAAAGGTTCCCTTGCTCGAAAGCCCATTGAATCCGACTCTAGGGTTGCGGTGCTCATCTCCGTTTCCAAGCTGAAGAGCCAGCACTGTCCGAAGACATTTCCGTGGTCATGTGGCCGGCATGACTAAACACCAAGGCGCATGGAACGCTGTTACCTTCCCACCGAAGTGGTACCTATTTATCTACTTGCAATTTCTTGCTTTCAAACTGCTATGTTGGCAGGAGCTGGAACTAGAGACGGGAGCTCACTCCGCCATGCGGCACACTCGGGTCTCGAACTGCTGAACTACCGACCTTCCACAGCCTGCAGTTCAGCGTCAAGCCACAGCAGCTCCTTGATTTGGTTAGAGACCCACAAAGCTCTAATCTATTAAATATGCTTCACCTTCTGCGGGGACATCACATTCTGGATCAGCTGAAGTTTCTGAACAATCTTCAGAGACAGTCTCTTCTAGAATGCACTAGAGAAGTTAAATGGAAAAAAGATGCATAGGGATGCAACCTAAACACTATTAAAGGCCTCTAGGGTCCTATGACTCCTAAAGTTGATAAATTAACAAAAGCACTTCAGAAGAGCTAAGCAAAGGGTGTCAGGGCTGTGTCACCAGTGGAAACTCTGAGACTTGATCCATCTCACTGCCTAACATCCACTGCGGCTCCACACAGTGTTCTCGAATCAGAAGTAGCTCTGATTCGCTACAAAATGGTTCATTCCAGTCCGGTACGTCACCCCCTAATTTACCACAGCCACATGGTTTGTTCCACCCAGCTGCTACCAGTTTATGGTTCATTCCAGGCACACCCTATCTACATGAGAATGGTTTGCCCCATCTTTTGAGAACTTTATACCCATATAGGACTGCATCAGGAGAAAGAGGACGTTAACATATAACATCAGCCTGTTCTCCGGGATTGTCGTTTCACAACTCTCAGGTCAGTTTCCCCTTATGCTCCCTTCTCCACCCCGCTTTCCTCGAAATAGCTCAGTCCAGTCCTTACACCTACCAATAAAGGAAAGTGCCATTGCAGCGGGAGGGGATGATTTCGCGAGAGGGCAGTCTTTCTCCAGCCCAAGCTTTTGTTTATGGCGAGCAGACGTCTCCGGGGTCCTACCCCTCTCAGCGTGGGCACTTCCAGACTCCGAGAGGCCATGTTCACACAGCCAATCCTGACACGCATCCCCTTCTCTGTCACACGCCCTGCCCCAGCTATTCTTCTAGCACCCACCCGGTTGGAACGGCCAGTGTCAAACGGTGAGGTCTAGGGGGCTGGGCGCCTCTGCTCCTCGCCAGGGCGCCTCGTAGGGTCGGCGATTGATTGAACGCTCTTCTTCCGCCTCCAGGTCGTGCGGAGTAGGCAGGCCCGGCCAATGGAGCGGTGCGCCTGCGTGGAGAGGGAGCTGGACAAAGTGCTGCAGAAGTTCCTTTGCTACGGCCAGCATTGCGAGCGAGGCCTGGAGGAGCTGCTGGTTTACGTCAGCCAGCTGAGGGAGGAGCTGAGCACTGCAGGTACGTGGGCCGTCTCTCCCCTGCCGCCCGGAGGCGGAGGCACGGGCAACGAGGAGGCGGGAAGGACTGGGTAGAAACGGGTTGCCAATTGCCTGGAGAGAAAAAAGTGTTCCCCTGTCCGTTTAATCGAGGCTTAAAGGTAAAGGTTCCCTTGCTCGAAAGCCAGTCGAATCCGACTCTAGGGTTGCGGTGCTCATCTCCGTTTCAAAGCCGAAGAGCCAGCGCTGTCCGAAGACGTTTCCGTGGTCATGTGCCCGGCATGACTAAACACCAAGGCGCACGGAACGCTGTTACCTTCCCACCGAAGTGGTCCCTATTTATCTACTTGCAATTTCTCGCTTTCAAACTGCTAGGTTGGCAGGAGCTGGAACTAGAGATGGGAGCTCACTCCGTCATGCGGCACCCGGGTCTTGAACTGCCAGATGCATGAGTGTATATCCTTCAGGGCCAATCTCTATGCACGACTGAAATGTGTCCAGTATACAAGTCAATATAATGAGCGTGGAAGACAGCAAAATCATGCGAGGTGAGGCAGTGGTCTCCTTAGGTTTTCCAAAGCCCGCTAAGAAAAAAAGTCAAATGCTCTTTGATGTTGGCAACCCTTTCAGATGCATGAGTGTATATCCTTCAGGGCCAATCTCTATGCACGACTGAAATGTGTCCAGTATACAAGTCAATATAATGAGGGTGGAAGACAGCAGAATCATGCGAGGTGAGACAGCAGTCTCCTTAGAATGTTTTCCAAAGCCCACTAAGAAAAAAAGTCAAATGCTCTTTGATCTTTTTTTTCTTTTAAAGGGTTGCCGAAAACGTTGCCTCCTATTTAAAAAAATCCCGGTGTTTTTGAATGATTGGGAGTGATGAGCTTGGAAATCTGGCCTGATGTGGGAGTGTTTAGCACCTGACTGCAGCATAAACCTCAAATAGTCTGGCCTTGAAGATGTTGTTTATTTAGAAAACCTATATATGCTGCCTCTCCACAGACCTTCTTCAGGTGGCTCAAAAACAGCACCTCATATTCATGCATATTTTCTATTCAAAAATATGAATAATCCATAAAACAGCATGAAACAGCCTTCAGGGGCCTAAAACAATATTCAGAAAACAGCCTTCAGCCTAGAAGCAGACCATGAACACAGCTGAAAAGATGGAATCCCTCATTTAAAAGCTTGGGTATATAAAAAAGTTTTGAACTCTCTTAAAAAGGACAGTAAAGCAGATGCCAGACAAGCCTCAAGGGGGAGAGCATTCCAAAGGTGAAGTGCCAACACTGAAAAAGCCCTGCCTCTGGTCTTCACGTCTCACCTCTGCAGGTGGGGGCACAGACAGTAAGACTTGGGAAGAGGGTCTTAATTGGTAGGCTGGTTTGGGAATGAGGTATTACATGAGTCTGTAGCATAGGGGTGGCCAAACTTGCTCAGTGTAAGAGCCACATAGAATAAATGTCAGCTGTTTAAGAGCTGCAAGACATGAACAAATATCACACACATTTTTATTTTTAAAATATGCACATTTGCTTTTTATTAACATTATAAATGAGACTACCAAAAATAAAAACAAAAGGGGTAAAAACAGATATTGATAATGATATTTATTTCTCCAATGATATTTGTTTGCTAATGATATTTATTTGTCTAAGACAGAGAGAAAGAGAAAGAGAGGTGAAAAGAAAGAAGGAAAGAGGTGGAGAGAGAGAAACAAAGAAAGCAAATAGATGGGAGGGAGGGAAAGCATGGCTCCCCTTCACTTTCCCGGCCACCCTGACGGGAGCCACACGATATGTGTGAAAGAGCCGCATGTGGCTCCCAAGCCGCAGTTTGGCCACCCCTGCTGTAGCAGTTCTCTTCCTATCTGTTGATCTTTCTCCTAGCAGATTAGAGGAAGAGAGGAAATAGGTCTCCTGCTTGTTTGGGATGTTCTTCCACCTGTATTGTATTGTATTCTGATTGGTATTTGTCATTCATTTGTGAGCAGTAAGGCTTTTAGAATTAGTTCTGCTCTTGTTCTATAGAGACAGTGGGAAAATGTGTTTCCTAGTTTCCTAAACTAAGACCCTGATGCTGGGAAAGATTGAGGGTCAAAGAAGACGGGGACGGCAAAGGATGAGATGGTTAGACAGTGTCATAGATGCAACGAGCATGAAGTTGAGCAAACTTCAGAGGACGGCGGAAGACCGTAAGGCCTGGCGTGATCTGGTCCATGGGGTCGCGAAGAGTCGGACTCGACTGTGCGACTGAACAACAAGAAAGTTTCCTAAAACATTGGATTTGGTCCTGTTGAATCTAAGTTACTCATAACATCTGGGAAAAAATTTTGGTTACTGTTGTACCAAGCTGTTTTCAGATGGCAGCTGTGGTCAAGGAAGTGTTTTGTTGGGAGAGCCTATAAACTCTACTACTATCTGCACTTAAAATATGGATGCTTTCTCCTATTGCAGCCTTACAACGGACACCACTATCTGCCACACTGTCCCTGGTAATGTCCCAGTGCTGTAAGAAGATCAAGGACACTGTGCAGAATCTAGCTTCAGATCACAAAGACATCCATAGTAGCATTTCTCGGGTTGGCAAGGCAATCGACCGGGTGAGTATTTCAATCAGCTTAGGTTTGAGTTTCAAGAAGAAGATGAGAACTAAGGCATTTCAAACCGGGTAGCTCAAGTGGTTAAGACGCTGAACTGCAGGCTGTCGAAGGTCAGTAGTTCAGCAGTTCGAGACCTGAGTTGCCGCATGACGGAGTGAGCTCCCGTCTCTGGCCCCAGCTCCTGCCAACCTAGCAGTTCAAAAGCAATAAATTGCAAGTAGATAAATAGGTACCACTTCGGTGGGAAGGTAACAGCGTTCCGTGCGCCTTGCTGTTTAGTCATGCCGGCCATATGACCACGGAAAACGTCTTCGGACAGCGCTGGCTCTTCGACTTTGAAACGGAGATGAGCACCGCAACCCTAGAGTCGGACTCGACTGGCTTTCGACCAAGGGAAACCTTTATTGTATAGATAGGTTTTCAGGAGGAAATGTTACCCTATTTTTAGTCATGCAACATGGAGCTCATTCATGAAGCACTGGACACTATGAATGGATGCAATGCGTATTTTCTCTGGCCACTGAATGGGTGCAAAATGTATATCTTCTTATCTCATTATTTTTTGTTTTGGTAACACCCACACTGCAGTCAGAATAGCCTGCTGCTGTGCAGGCAGAAAGATGTTCTGCTTGGTTTCAAAACCAGTAGCTTTCCCTGTATGTATTACACAGAAATCTAGAATTCTGCATTAGGGAATATCAGATTTCCCTCCCCTAAGAAATCTGATTATCCAGACTGCAGTTAATAATGTGAGGTAAACATTACTTGAGCAAGTTTTGATTCACCACCAGCCTTCACTTAAACTTTGTTTCAGTACCAGGGATTTTGTTTTGGGGAGACTGAGAAATATGAGTTACGAACAGCAGAGAATTTACTAGACCAGGGGTCCTTGACATTTTTGACCTTGTGGGCACCTTTGGAATACTGACTGCAAAAGGCAGAGTCAACCACAAAATGTCAGGGGTTGGGGGTGATGCATAACTCTAATAAGTATTTATTTATTTATTTATTTTGAACTTTTAAACTGCCCTCCCAGGCAAGGCCGGCTCAGGGTGGCTTACAAACAGATAATTACATTAAAAACATAATTTACGATTAAAACAATTCTAAAACCATAATAAAGTGCTAGTGATCGTTGTTATCCATAAACAGTAGCAGCCATAATTCACAGTTCTCAGCTTGCTGTCAGCTCACAGTATTCGTTTTGGTTGTTCCAGCAGTACTTTTTGTTCTTTAGGCTGTTGGTGGCAGTTTCTGGACTCCAGGGCCCTCTCCAATGTTCTTCATTGGTGGTGGCAGTGGCTCCCAAAAGCCTGGTGGAAGAGCTCCGTTTTACAGGCCCTGCAGAACTGTAAAAGGTCCCGCAGGGCCCTGATCTCCTCTGGGAGCTCATTCCACCAGGTTGGAGCCGCCACCAAGAAACCCTGGTCCTGGTCACCGACAGCCTAGCCTCCTTAAGACCCGGGAGGGCCAGCCAGTTCTGGGCCCCTGACCACAGTGCTTTCCGGGGGACATATGGGGAAAGGCGGTCCCTCAGGTATGTAGGTCCCTGACCATGTAGGGCTTTAAAGAATAGTAATTCTTCAACCTCTCAGGCAGAAGTCTTTTTAACAGGGTTCCCTTTAAAGTGAGCATATTGTTTTAAAATGCTTACACACAACTTACCTTCAGTCATACAGTGAAGATATTAGTGCTGTGGTGGCAACTGCTGCCAAAGCAACTTTATAAAAAGTCTGCACAGACAATCAGGTGGCCAGTGGCCAGTCAGAAGCCCTAGTGTGCAAAAGCCCTATCTGGCCCTGCCCAGTTTCTAAAAACATTTGGTGGGCACCAGGAAAGTTGCCAGTGCTGCCATGGCACTGGGGTCCCTATACTAGACCTTTGCTGAGAAAAGGATCTGTCTGCACACATTTATAATATTTTTATTGACTTTGTTTATAGTCTACCTTTCTTGCTGAGAGTTGAGGCAGATGATGAAATTCATAAGCAATGCAATGAAACATAAAATAAACCATGCAATAAAACTGCCTTTTTTATAGACAGTAAATTATAACCACATTCTGTTTATAAAACCATTTTTTGACTTTTTCTTCACAGAAAGCTTGGCTAGACTCTTGCTCTGTTTTAAACTGAAAGCTCAGATACTTAGGCAGGTTAGACTTACCCTGAACAGCTCATGTGGTCATTGTGTCAACCTCTTAGCCTGCCCTGTTTTTACTCTAAGCTGTGATTTCTGGCCAGTAACAGTGCAACTCAATGCTGGTAGGAAGTAGGTGGTTGTTTTGTGCCAGTGTTAATGGGTTTTACAGAAAAGTTTGAACTGGAAAATTTTTCCATGCCTTAAACAGTGTGTGATGTGATTTAGCATGTATATTTTGATTTATACACAAATAAATAGAAAACTTTATGTGGAAACTTATTTTTCTTGGAAAAGTACTTGAAAAGATTTAAACATACTATAACACATTTAAACAATGTAAGGGGGGGGTGAGACTAAAGGCAGTGAAAACTGTTCACACAGTAATTTTAGCACACCCAAAACAAAGTTCAAGTCCAGTGGCACCTTTAAGACCAACAAAGGGACTGTGCATGCTATGCTGTGGAATTGGTTGTCCATCTACTTCAACAGTATTTACCTGTCTTCCATGGAGGTCACTGGGGCACCTTAGTTTCTCTGTCACTCTCTGTAGCATCACTTGCATTACTTGTTAGTTCATATCAGATTGGTGGTCACAATATCCTTCCTACTATGTGGGAGAGACATGTGCTTTAGCTGTGCCAGGCAAATTAAAACCAATCAGATGCATTCATAACTTGATTTTTATTTGGGTTGTTGTACATACTTGTGGTTTTGTTTCTTCCCCCACCCCTTTTACAAATCGATAAAACATACATGTATTACAGAATTCATAGGAATAGTCACATGAAAACCATTCATTGCAACTTTGGAACTGCCAAGCTTGGTTAATATTGTATCGGCAGTGCCATCCATTCATTGTTATGTGGAGAAGGGGGAAGCACTAAAAAAAACCTGTCCCACATGTGTGCTTTGGGGTTTGGAAAATTGTTAGTGGGGCTTCCTGATAGCACTCTAGAATGGCTGTTTCTCCCCCCCCCCTTCCAGAATTTTGATGCAGATTTATGTGGCATTGTTCCTGCAATGGTCTGGGAATCCCAAGAGAAGCAGATCCTGGTGCTGGCCATTATAGAACACCTTTACCAACAAGGAATGCTTGGAGTGGCTGAGGAGCTGTGTCAGGTACTGGGATTAAAGGAAATACAAGTGCAAATAGTCTTTGTTACAGTGTGCTGAGCGGATGATCATAGCTTTGCATTTTTTTCTGTGCTATTGACCACTGCTTGGCACTGACACAGGGTTCTGCTAGACATTTCTGTTTCTTGCCTTCAAATGCAAGGGAGACAGCAACTTGAGTTACCTGACCCTACTGACTGGTTTTATTATGACACACAGCTGACTGCTTCCATCCTGCCTGCAAGGATGAAGCTCACTGAGGATATTCCTGTTTCCCCACTGCATTCTCTGCTTCTTCGTGAAAAAGACTGAAATGTGTTCCCATTCAACTTTTAGATTTTCTGTCCACAGGAGTCCACCATGAATGTAGACATAGATTTCAAAAAACCATTTCTTGAACTTAACAGCATACTAGAAGCTCTACACAAGCAAGACCTGGAGCCAGCCTTAAGGTAGGAATGAAGCCTTCGTGCATAGCTTTTCTCCATAGGATGGTTTTCCCTTTCTGTATTTACTGAAAAGATGAGTAGAGCATATGCTTCAGGACAAGGATCCTTGAAAAGAGTTGGATCCACGCTAATGTTTTTGTCAGTCCAATAAGAGCTGCCACACCACAACCACCGCCAGATTGGACACAAATTGAAATAAACCCTATAACCCCATACTCATTATATGAAGCCCTGTGGGATACAGATTTCACTTAAAAATTCCAACAAACAATACAGTCCATATTTGATCACTTCTCTTAATACATGGCACAAACATAAAGATAAGTTAGCTCCAGAGATATCCAAACAAGCTCCCTACACTTTACAAAAATGGTTTGTCCCTACACAAAACTAACAAAAATTTAAAACATGGCAAGACGCAAGAATCAAATAGCTCACTTATTAGACAATGATGAGATATTAGATAAAGCAAAATTAGAACAAAAAATAAAAAATACAGTGGTTCAAAACACTTACTGGAATTACTTCCATCATTACAAACTAGGAATAGACCCATGACTCAATTTGAATTACTTTTAAACAAGAAAAAAGAGCAATCTCTGGGATTAATAACAACTTGTTACAAATCCATTAACAGAAGTGAAGAAGAACCAGCAACCTTATATCAAAAACAATGGCAACTAGATATCCAGACCTTTCTCTCTGAAAAAGAGTGGATATCAATTTGGAACGCATCATGTAATATATCCAAAATACTCCCCATTCGGTTCCAAGCAGTTAAAATGCTAACAAGGTGGTATTTTCCACCAACTACACTACATTGAATAAACAAATCATTCAAACCAATATGCAAAAAAACAATGTGGACAATTAGCAGATTTTATGCATTGTTGGCGGTTTTGTCTGCTGATTCAACAATTCTGGGAAAAAATAGGACAACAAATTAAAGAAATTACTCATAATGACTTACCTTGTACTCCTGATTTTTTTCTTTTGGAGAAATGGCCTGATACTGTAATAGAAGGAAGAAACAAAGAACTAATTTCAGTTTTGCTTTCTGTAGCTCGTATTCTTATAGCAAAAAAATAGAAAGAAATCCTCCCTCACTACAACAATGGTATAATCAAATATGGGATCATTTTATTTTAAGTAAAATATCTTTCAAAACATCCAATGCATCTTCGGTCAATTAAAAAAAACCCCACAAAACAAAGTAGCAGTTTGGTGTCCAGTTATAAGTTATATGATACAAAATGATATTTTACCTAAGAATCCCCTGTACCAAGAGATGATCTATTTTTAAATTCTAATAGAACATATTCTGATATTTAACTATGTAAGATTCAAATAATTCTGTAACAAGTGAAAATAATAACTTAAACATCGCAAAAGGTGTATGATTATATAAATATTGATTTGCTGATATGTCGAATTTTGAATTGTTAAAAATAAAAAAATAATTTAAAAATGTCAGTGCAAGGATTTCTGCTGGGAAGTATGACTTCCCTTCCTCCCCGTACAGGAAAATCATGCTCTGAAATATTGAATTGTTAAGAATAAAAAATTAATTTAAAAATGACTCAGTGCAAGGATTTCTGCTGGGAAGTATAACTTCCCTTCCTCCCCGTACAGGAAAATCATGCTCTGTGGGTGGAATTGCTTGCACTTGTGGAAACACTAGTCTGGCCCCAACCCATGGCTTGTTCCTCAAACTAAATCTCTAGGGGGCTCATCACCTCTTCTCTTTGTGCTTGGGCAAGCATTGAGAACTTGTGCTTGCCTTTCTCCCGCTGAGTCTAACCCTTCCACAAAGTCCAGTGAATACTGTTCTTGGTCTGTCTCCTTGTCTCTCTGCAAGCTTTGTGAGTCCAGAGAATGAGGACATTGCTAGTATTCTCTACCTTCCCCAAGAAAGAAAGCTTCTCTATAAATATGTGATTTGAAGTATATCCTTTTGCTGTGATGACTACTCCATCACGTTCTCTCTCTGGTACTAAGAAGGGATGTCCTTTGCCCAGTTGGGCAATCTTCCACAGACAGCAGCTGGCAGAACTGAACAGCTCTCTGGAGTTCCGGCTACATCGGCTCCACTTCATCAGGCTTCTTGCTGGTGGTCCAGGCAAGGAGCTAGAGGCCCTGAGCTATGCACGCCATTTCCAGCCTTTTGCTCATCTACACCAGCAAGGTGAGGCTGTTTGGAAGCTTACTCTGGCACTTGCCTCTTGGAGTGGCTACCTTGGGAGGGATTTATCTTTCTTGCAAGGATTTCCTCCAGTGGGAAAGATTGTCTCAGCTTTTCTCATCAGGAGTTGTGATGGGCAAAATTTAACGTGGACCTTACTAAGCCCTCTGAAGTCAGATAGCAGGTTTGTCCTTTAAAGGGGAGCTTTTGGCACTGAAGAGTTATAAGCTTCCCCTTTTTAGTAGAGGAAGATGTGGGATTCCCTTGCCTGAAAACAAGGGAATTATTGGCTTGAGTCTAATTTGATCACAGGACAGAGTATTGTGTTACTGAAGGCATGTTAATGTGGTGCTTCCTGTATCCTGCTACCTAGAGATTCAGGTGATGATGGGGAGTCTGGTATACCTGCGCCTGGGCCTAAAGAACTCTCCATATAGGCACTTGCTCGATGACAGCCACTGGACTGAGATTTGTGAGACTTTCACTCGTGATGCCTGTGCCCTGTTGGGCCTCTCAGTGGAGTCTCCCCTGAGTGTCAGGTAAAGCCTGATGTGGGTGGGATGGGGAGCAGGGTGGGGCAGTGCTGAGCTCTCTCTGTCTCTCTCTGTCTGCAGCTTTGCTGCAGGATGTGTAGCACTACCAGTGCTGATGAACATCAAGGCTGTGATTGAGCAGAGACAGTGCACAGGTGTCTGGAGCCACAAGGATGAGCTGCCTGTGAGTGCCTGAGCCATTCTGGGAAAGGGTGTTGTGATGGAGGAGCTGCAGGTTGTGGGTGGGGAATTCCTTGAGGAAGAAGCTGTGAAGGGGCTGATACTCCTGTTACTCTTAACAGATTGAGATTGAGCTGGGGATGAAGTGTTGGTACCATTCAGTATTTGCATGCCCTATCTTGCGCCAGCAGACAACAGATTCCAACCCACCCATTAAGCTCATCTGTGGACATGTCATCTCTCGAGACGCTCTCAACAAACTCATCAACGGAGGGAAGTGAGTGATGTTTTTGCCTGGAGTTCTTGAGAATTGTTGGGTGATAAACCCATCTAAAAATCAGATACCATGCTACTAAACAATCTCCAAGCTGTTCTATAACCACACTGAGAGATGCTGTAGGATACCCAGACCCCCTTGAAGAATGTAGAAAGTCAGATTCCTCACCTTTATTCAGTGTCTTGGGATCACCACCATACTTCAGCAGCACTGTCTGCTGCTTTCTGCCGGGTAGTGCTATACCAGCTGTCATGAGAACCTCTAGCACTGCCTCCTATAGTTGCTAAGGAAGGGATCTGGACCTGGAGCCCCCAAGGCCAAATTGGCCCTCTTCTTACCAATGCAGAATCAAGAAAAGTGTGCAGTAGAACTGTGGTAATCGGATTTGCTGGTGGAGCACAGGGGAGGCCACAGGAAGGGCCTCTCTCCCACTTTCTCCGTGGTGCCGTGCTACTCTTGTAAAACTTGTCACTGGCCAGCATTCAGAGCTCCTCTTTCTAATCTCTGCTTTGTATCTTTTCTGCAGGCTGAAATGTCCATATTGCCCTATGGAGCAAAACCCAGCTGATGGGAAACGCCTCATCTTTTGATAATGATGTGTCTTGGAGGTGCTGTTGGGGAAATGGACAGTGGGAATAAGCACCTTTTGGGGCAGGGCTTGAAAGGGAGGTCTTACGTGCCTGCAGGAGTTCCTATTGGCCTGCTGCACTAACTGCTGTAGTCCTAAAAGTTGCTGCTTGCTCAGTGAGACAGAACAGCAGCTTCCTAGGTCAGAGGAGAGTGGTTTCTTATGGGTGCTGTAAGGTACGGCAATTGATTGTGTACACGTGGCACCATGTTTTTTTCCAATCCTAGGCTTCTTCATGGGGAGGGCTTAGCTGAGCAGCCAGCTGCTTCCTACCAAGATATTCTGCCCTCTACCCATGCACAGATCTATTCTTGTTGGGGCTAGGGTTGCACAATAAATAGATGAAGAGCTGCTTCTGCCACTTAATACCTTGGAAATAAACCTCTGTCATCTTCTGTTTTGATCAGTAAGAAGGAGAAAAGTTGTGTCTGAAAAGGGAAAGTGTTTTGTTTTTTAAATAACTGAAGCCTACATCTTAAGTTTAAAAAGGCATCTTTAAAACTTAGTGCTGATCTTCTGAGGAAAGTTTTAAAGTACATGGGAAAGGAGAAAAGGGCAACAGCCGAGACATTAACAAAGGTGATCTCTGAATCTTTTGAGCATGGAGATTGGCCCAAAGTGCAGCCTTCTGACCTAGATATGAAGGGTATGTCATTATGGCATGCCTCCTGCTATCAAACTCCTTGCGCATAGATAAGATCAGGAAAACTGTAAGAAAGGGTCTTGTACCTGCTGATAGTACATACTTAGAAGCCAACTTGTATCTTTCAGTAAAGGTAGAAACCCTCTTGTGGAGGTCTCCGATCTGTTATAGATTAGTATAAAGTGGAACAACTACAGGATGTGAAATCTGGTGTAGCAGTCACTAGAATACTTAACTTGATGGATATAGGAAAGAAGATGCAGTCCTTTCCTTCTCATAATGAATTATGTCAGCAATTCAATTTCAAATAATTCTGTAGCTTAACAGATAAAAATCATTTGAAGCGATGATAAAAAAGGCTCAGTGTGGGTTAATCCATATAGTATATGTATGTAGTGGAAGAGGCCTCTTAAGTTCAACTCGAGGCAGAATGCCAATAGCACATCATTATGGGGAACTCCCTGGAAGCAGTGGGGAAAATGCTACATGAGGTAGTGTATGAAGTAGGACTCCAGAGCTGGGCCTGTGGAGAAAACTGCTAAGCTTATAGGACAGTACAGACTTTAGAAAGGATCCCACTGACGAGAGCAAACTGTTCAACCTAAAAGCAACCATGCGTATATGAGAGCCAGTTCCTACCAACTGTGCTTCAGAAACACAGCTGTAACTATGGTATGTTCTTAAATAACCCCTGTAAAGTAGGGAAAATCACCACAGGCCTTTAGAAGGTTATATTTATCAAGGGTATTGTATGGTTTTTTCTGACATCTGAGTTGTGGCCTGTTCATTTTACAAAGGGTTTTGTCCCACTGCATGTAATCCTAGGGTTTTGTTTTTTTCCCCTTCTCCCTTCAGTTTGGGGCACCCGAACTGCCACACCTATGGAAGGATGGCAAAAAATACATCTAAATAAATTTCTTTTCAAATGGACTTGGTGGATGATTTTTATTGTAACTATACTCAGAACTAATAATAAAGTTCCTCCAGGACAAACTGGCAATCATGCTGTAGGGAAGGAAAAGCCATCAACATGTGATATAAGGCAGTAGGTACTTTTTTTCTGGTGCAGCATTCTGTTGCTTGCATTACATAATAGTCTTGTAGCTTACAGAGCAAAACACAAGAACTGGGTGTGATAGACATTTTTGTTTTTCAAACAGTTCACACAAGTCAGTATATTAAACCATATGCTGGGGGTGGGGTAAGCAGTTACTGAAGACACACCTAATGTGGGCAATTAGCATAGGACATAATCTGTTAAATTAGACACTGAAAAACATTTAGAAAAACTGGGTGTGATAGACATTTTTGTTTTTTTCAAACAGTTCATATTAAACCATCTGCTGGGGGTGGGGTGAGCAGTTACTGAAGACACACCTAATGTGGGCAATTAGCATGGGGCATAATCTGTTAAATTAGACACTGAAAAACATTTAGAAATCGTACAAATATTTTAATTGTATTAAGACTCCCAAAAGGAGCACATTAGCTTTTAGAGTGAGATGGTTAACTCCTTAGGCTAGATTTGCCACAAAATGTAGTCACTAACACACACCACTCTGCAGTACTTACTAAAGGACATGTAACTGATTTTTTAAAGCCAGTGATTAGTCTGCCTTTTAAGGCTTACTAGTATTACCAACTCCAGTATTCTTCCAAAGGTAACAAAAGGACAAAGCCAGCTTCTGTACCCATAGTTTTAAATCAATGTTCAGCTACTGTCTCTCTTGCAGAGAAGGTACAAGTCACGTCAGTCTTAACAGCATCTTCCTTCAATGTTCCTCACAAGGGGAGAGGAAGAGCCTCCACCTCTTCCAAGCACTCGTCATAGGCTTCTTGGTATTCTTCATGTGGCTTGATCATGATCACACAGGTTGGGCGTTTTGTACCTACAGCTAATCCCAAGTCCTGAGAAGAGAAACCACAGGAAAGCAAAATTCATTTCCCAGATCACTCACAACAGTTTCCCATTAGCCCACAACAAACACATATCTCCACTATTGCAACAGCACTCTACAGGCCGATTCACATGTACAATATGGTCATGCTGAGATGCATTTTAAGTGGGCCCCTGTTTCAGAGTACTAATGTGAAAGGTAAGTTTCAGGATGCAGGTCTACCTGATAAAAGTAACGGCTCATAAGAGACTGTAATACAGAACTCATGAGAATGAGCAGATGAAATGGAAAAGATTTCAGCAATAGTGTACCGATAAGAGGGTTAATGTGTAGTTTTTAAAAAAATGACAACCCACACTTCTAATACAGTAAGGCAAGATTGCCTTCCTATGGTGCAGGTTTTTGAGATTCTGACTATGGCTGCATCATGGTAAACAACAGCATTACTGTGAAGATAATCTGGCTGATTTAAATACAGGCAATCGTATTTGCCAGTATTGCACAGCTTTGTGCTGCCAGACAGTAACACCCGTGGTTTAAACAAGATTATCTGTAGAGAGGATCTAGTACTAAAGTCCTTGGTCATCCCTTCTCAGCTGATTTAATATCTGAGTCTAGGCCAGGGAAGAACTTAGGGTCTAGTTTTAAACAGTTTCTAACCAACTGCTCAACCCCAACTGCTGAGTTTTTACTTAAAAAGAGACAGTTTTTGTCATGCTACAGTTATTCTGCTGGTCTGACATGTAAGATCACTGCGTTTCTAGTTTTAAACAGTTTCTAACCAACTGCTCAACCCCAATTGCTGAGTTTTTACTTAAAAAGAGAAAGTTTTTGTCATGCTAGTTATTCTGGTCTGACATGTAAGATCACTGCGTTTGTATTATTTACTTCATTTATACCCCACCTTTCCCCCCCAATGTAGACCAAAGTGGCTTACATCATTGTCCTCTCTTCCATTTTTATCCTCACAACAACCCTGTGAGGTAAGCTGGGCTGAAAGTGTCAGTGGCCACCCAGCAAGTTTCCATGGCAGAGTGGAAATGCAAACCTTTGTCTCCCAGATCCTAGTTTGACACTAATCACTACGCCACACTGGCTCTACTCCATCTTTCTTTTATAATGGAACAAGTTTGCTTACAGCAGGCTTCCTAGAAACCCTGTCTGAGCACTGAGCAGATGCGCCTAGCTTCAGCTATGATCATGTGCCTTCCAGCTATATCCTATACAGTATAAACAACAACAAAAAATACTGTAATGACCCATGGCCCAAATGCATAATATATTCAAATATCTCCTGTTTGCTTGGGGTGGGTCTCCCATATGCTTGGAATAGTGAAAAGCAACTTGTGGCGCAGCTTTGTCCATATACTGTTGTTTTATTGGTAAGCCGCCCTGAGCCTGCCTTGGTGGGGTAGGGCAGGGTAAAAATCAAAGTAAAAAATAATATAATAGTTTAACCACCTATTAGTGGTGCATTTATTAATCTATGGCAGTCCAGATAAGGGTTGCCAGACCCCACTGGCATGCAGGGGATCCCCCCCGGCTTCCAGCACTGCCAACTGGCTGGTGGGAGACAGTTACTACCCCAAACGCAACATACTAACGTCACCCAGAAGTGATGTAGGCACGTCGGTGACATGGGGGGGGGGCACTGGTTTTGGGGCAAGCCTCTATGGTAGAATTAGCTTCAAACCAGAGTTTTGCCCAAATACCAGAGCACTGCCCCCAGAGATGATGCAGGCATGACATGCCTCTTCCCTCCCTTCTCCTGTAGTGACCCAGCAAGTCCCCCACCGGCTTGTTCAGATACGGCAACCCTAGTCCAGATGCAGCAATCTAATTAACAAAAGAAAACCAAAAAAGCTGATTATATGCCTATCAATTAGAGAAGGAGGTACTAAGTCTTCCACAATCAGCACCTGACTATCCTCACAATCCATTGAAAATCACAGCTAGAGTAATTGGGGCTATCCCTCCCAGTTCAAAGATCTCAATTGCTTAAAATGACTGTAGCTTGAAAACATTTCCATATCATTGTGAAGGCTTTTAGATAAAAGTGCTAGTATCTATTCATTCCAGTAAGTATAGAAGATATGATACGTCCTGACTGCTACAACATGTAGTATGCCCAAGCAATACCCAGAATCAAAGGACACTTCCACAATAGCCCTTTTCCTCATTATTGAGTAGCCTGGATCCCACCAGTTTTCCACCAGTGCAAGACAAATGATCTTGCCAACCCCCCCCCCCCCCCCCCCCCAGCAACTTGCTTTAAATGGGAGAAGGGGGGGGGGGGCCTAGCACACACCTGCACTCTGAACCATGAATTCACAGCTTGGAGTGGAGTCACACAACCCTGCTTCTCCCCAAAGCATCTAAACTTTAAATGTTTTGAGGTAGAAGCAGGGTGTGTGTGCGGGAGGGCGAATCAACGGAGAGGATGGGGCAGGGGAAGAGCTGGACTGGCCAGAGGAACCTGGGCTCTGTGATGCCTCTCCCTCGACTGAGAGACCCCCGCTCCTCACACACAGCGGAGACCCTTGCAGGCCTGGAGGGATAGGGTTGTGAGAAGGTTTCTCCTGGGCACCCCCAGGGGTCCTAAGTCAACCAGTGTCCCCCTCTCTCTTGCAGGCAGGCTCCTATCCCTTGGAGTCCTGTCAGGAGGCCAGTTGGGGGCTGGGAAACGGGAAGGCAGCACAGAGGCGCTGAGTGAGTGGGCAATAGCTGAGGGTCTTGCTAAGGCGATGCATGAGACATCCTCAGCCAGGGAAGGGGAACTGGGGCCAGGGGCTCCAGTCCCCGAGCTGGAACTGGAGAGCAAAGCTGGAGTCTTTGGCATTTGGTCAGCCCCCACCGAGGCAAGGAGAGCAAAGCACGGGGGGAGGGGGGGCCTTGATTGGTAAATGTCTTTGCCCCTGCGTGAATTTCAGTGCCCACCATTTTTTAAAAGGCCCCCCCACATTAAAAAATCATGGCTACAGGCCTGATTCCAGTTATACCTACTTAAACTTACCGTGCTGTCCTAAACAGAGTTACTCCCGTTGAAATCAATGGGCTTCGACCAGAGTAACTTTTCTTAGGATTCCACTCTTAAGTTTCAGTGAAGTATAGAATAAAAGCCAGATTCTATGAGAGGTTTCAGCACAAGCCAGAATGGGGTTCCCGATTTTCCCAGCCTGAAACAGCCCCAGGAACATTATTTGCCCCACTGCTGGGCTACAAGTACACTGAACACTGCACATGTATCTCCAGGGCCATTTCAGCCTAGACAAATATCTCTCTCTGTGTGTGTGTGTGGGGGGGGGGGCCTAATGCCCGCCCCCCCCATGTCATGATTCCAATTTAAATCAGGCCCCAGTGTGTTTGGGAACTCTGTTTCCTGCTTGTCATGCCTGGCTTTGAGATGATCAGTCTTGAATAGTTTGGCTCCAAACTGTTGTTCCAAAGCCTTTAGAAAAAAGGTGAGTCTTGAGGAATGACAAGAAAAATGAAAAGACCAAATAAAGAAAGAAACATTATTCCACCATGAACTTTTGTGTGTCAGAAATCCCTTCATAAAACGTACAAATTGCCTAATGGAACAACTGTATCAAATGCACGTGATGAAGTGTGCTCTGGCTCAGAAAGCTTACTCTGGGATCTATAAGTTTTGAAGGTGCTGCTGGACTCCTGTTTATTTTGCTGCAACAGGCTAACACGGCTACTCTTATGGAATTCGTACAAAGAGTAACAGACGAGAGCTCAACATATTTTGTAGGCCAGACAAAGAAGAAAGTAGAAAATGTTGACGAAATCACGGACGCCCTTACCCCTTCTCGCCTTTGTTGATAAACCTCTGGACCTCTTTCACGCCTTGCCGGATCTGTTTATGCTTCGCCGCTATAAACGAAATGGGAAATATTCAGCACGAAGCCTCAGTGGCCTGAGAACCCCCAACAGGAATTCTTTCCACCCCTGACATCAGCCCCTCCACGTCCGCCTTCCCTCGGACTCCCCCGCACCTTTTTTGGCGCATTTGTACAGCTTGCGCGTGAGTTTACGAGAGGCCAGCGGCCGCGAAATCGCATTCACATTCTCCACCAGCTCGTGGTAAGACCGTTCCGGGGCTGCCTCCGGCTCCGGCGCTTCCCCAGATTCCTGATGCTTGCTTCGACCCATGATTGCAAAGGAAGACCCACCAACCCACGTGCCTTTTTAGCTGCACTTCCTGTTCCGTGCCACACCAAAGAACTCTGGGTGAAAAAATACCATAGACGAGCAAAATCATGGGCTTTTCTCCTCAAACAACCAATAAGAAAGCGATTCTGAGAAGAAGGTACCACCCACTGTTCAGCCGGAAGGAAGCGCTATAGGCATAATAGCCTGTTTCCCAGCAAGCACCGTGTCTGGTTGTTTCTTCAGGAAAATGGCAGCTGGGACGGGTAGTGAGTGAGGGGCTTTCTTTAGGGTGGGTGGGGCTCTAGCAGGGTAAAAGATTGCTTTTTTTAAAAGTTAAGGTTTCTGTGTTTGTGATAGCTATGGGAAGTAGCTGTAGGCTAGTTGTAGAGTATTTCCTTTGCATGTGTAAGGTTCAATCCCAATACAGGCAATAGGTGATCTAAAAATTTTTCACCTGGCATCTTGGAGAGCTGTTGTCCAGTCAGAATAGATAATACCTGGTCTTGGTAAACTAGTGTTCAGTATAGGGTAGCTTCATTCATTTATGAAACAAGACAAGCTTAGTCTTTTGGATCGTTGTATCTCTGTGCAAAGCAAAAATTAATTGGTCAAATATCTGCTTTTGTTGGTGCAGAATCTTTCCTTTTAAAAGAAAAAATGCCAATCATAGGAGAGGGGCTCTCCAATTATGGATTACTTGTGAAGTGATATGTCCGCAAGAGTTTTGAGAAGTGTTATTATGTTGTGTTGTGTTTTTTTTTAGTTTGTAGGAAAATTAGTTGTTAACAGGGTGGTAGAATGGACCTCCTTTCTCCAGATTAGTGGTGGTGGATTCCAGTTGTCATTGAAAAATGGTGTGCAAACAGAAGACTAGCACAGCTGAGGGAACAGATCTTCTTCATAACTTTGCATGCTGTGCTACATTTCTGTTTGTAGTGAATTTTTAATATAGGAGAACATACAGATTTCACATCTGTAGGTTTATTTATTTATTTAGCCCTGTTATCTCAGTATTCTTCTACTTCATTCCCACATGTATGAAAAATGCTTGAGGAAGTAACCATTGAGTCTGGGAGGTGGCATGAATTGAGGTTAGATGGGGTGCTACTCAGAAGAATCCCTTTCTGGGGTATGTGATTAGGTCAACACTGCTGCTTGTTTTTTTCTTCCCTATCAGAGCACAAGCTGCTGAGTATTGGACCTACGGAGCCATGGTCTATCCGGGAGAAGCTGTGCTTGGCTTCTTCTGTCATGCGGAGTGGGGACCAGAACTGGTGAGACACGTGTGGCTGATGCTAGTGAGAACTTGCTGTTATGTGTTCTTCCAGGAGGTGTCCTAGGAAATACTTGAATGGTTATTATTCTGCCTGCACACAGGCTTGACTTGATTAGTAGAGTTAGTGATATTGATAGCAATTGAAGGGGAGAAGCTTGCTATGCAAAACTATCTTAATGAGAAGTAGATAAGCAATTACATCCATATTTGTCTGAATGTTGCTGAGTTATGTATCATTTACACTGATTTAGATAGTTGGCAACATAAAACAATAATGACAACTAGATCCTTCAAACCATTTTGTTAACTAGTTCACTTTGGCTTGAAGTGTTTTTAATAAAAATTGCTCTGAAGGCTATGAGATTATGCTCATGAGGCTCTGAGCCTGAATTTAGAACAATTTTTCAGCAGTTCTCATTGTAGCTGTTTAGGTATCATTTGCGTGGAACTCCTTTTTTAGTCTAGTTCTTGGCTTATGGAATAATTTGGAGTCATGCGAGCAGCTGGAATTTCTGAACATCTAATAATGGTTAATCTGGATTTTAGTAGCTAGGAATAGGATATAGGGGGGAGTGTTAGTGTAATGCAGAGGAAGGATTTTTGATTAATGCACTGTTATTAGTTGCCGAGCTCTTTGAGCTGGGATATAAATAAGCATGTTTCCATGCTTCCCCCAGATAATGAACCCAACATGAGCTTTTCGCTGCTATATCTTTCCAGTAAAAGGAAGGTAAATCTTAATTCTGCCTTTTTTTTTCTCCTATAGGGTGTCTGTCAGCAGAGCAATCAAACCTTTTGCAGAGCCAGGCCGCCCACCTGATTGGTTTTCTCAGAAGGTTTGGTGCTTATATTTGCCCACTGCGCAGAATGGTCTTTCATTTCATTATTGAGAAATATTTGCCCAAGAACACATTGTGTGGACCTGCCTCCATGCTGAGCTAGGTGGTAGGGATGTGAAGACGTGGAGGCGGGGGAGACCCAGAAAATCTTCAGAAGGAAAGTTGTTGTTTTTTCCTCTTCTTCCAATGGAAAATTTTGAGGGAGCACTGAAAACTCCTTCAAAATATTTTCTCTTTTAGAGTAAGGAAAACCTTATCTTACAAAACATTTCACTCATTCCAAATGTACAGCACAAAAAGATCTCGAGGGCTCTCAGCTTTTTCAGTGGAAGAACTGGAAAATTTGGGGGAGCACTGAGGTAGTACAATTTTTTATAAACACATATGAATTTTATATAAACCCATCCTATGTTGTTCAATCAGTAAAAAGTTTAAGTTTGATAGGAAAGTAAATTTTGCATATATTTCAGTTTTTCAAAAAAAAATTCCACAAAAATGTCTTTTTCTCATGGCTTCAATTTTTACATCTCTAGGTATTATTAAACCCTTTCAGCGGCCACAATAAGTAGTGTGACAGGCTGAGGACTCTCCAGGTGCTTCCTGCAGTGCACAGGTGTCCAACATGCAGCCTACAGGTCAAATATAGCCTGCCCAAGATTTTTAGCAAAAGATTTTGAATTATATTCCACTACAGTTACATCATAAAACTCGAGCATTATAAAGAATTACTGACAAAAGGAAAACAGATATGAATAAAGCCCTAATGCCTGTAATTCATGCCTGAGACATGTTCAGTATTTATATGCCAAACATAAACCCCCTGGATTCTGATGTTTAGGGACTATGTTGCCACGTTGGTGTTATTTAGGACCACATGCTTAGTGCAGAGCCTCGTAGATCATGTGGCCTACCACTGAAAAAACTTGGATGCCACTGCTGTAGAGGGAAGTGAGTGCAAAGAGCATTTCCCAGCTGTTGTCAGTCATATTGGAAAATGGAAAAAGGCAGCCTATTATCCTTCCAGCAGCCAGTGTGACAAGATTGATTCCACACAATCCCTCACTGACCATGCAGTCCTTTGCAGATCTCAATAGACTTAGACTGTATAGGATTGCATGTAAATCAGATGTGCAGAGGACACATCTAAATTTCTGTGGAACAAGTATTTTTCTCCCACTCCAGACTGGTTTCTGCGAGCAGTGCACCATGTAGAAATTGGCCCTTTCTACCAATAGAATCATGGCCAGTTGCTGCTCCGCCTCCCATTTATGGAGTGTAGAAGCTCTGCAGGCTATCCCTACTTGCAGTTCCTAAAACGACTCCCTAGAATCTCCTGTTACCAAGCCCCTACATGCACCCTACAGAGTATGAAGATGCTTAGAAGTGTGTGTCATTTATTGTTCTCTGAGAATTGTTTGTGTTTTTCTAGCACTGTGCATCCCAGTATTCTGAGCTCCTGGAGACAACAGAGACACCTAAGTGAGTAAGGCCAAATCATATGATGTTTGTTTTCTTTTTCTTTATAATGGGGCAGGGGTTCAAAGTGTAAGGAAGATACTTTGTGTTAACAAATGCTATAGCTGTTTTAGAACTGGAATGGCATCTTGGACATGGAAGACGAAACATGCTTCCAGACCATCTTTTGGGTTAAGTTTGGCCCATAGTTGAATACTATGGTGACATACAAAGATGAGGCAGTTAGTCATAACCTATCTCCCTCTCCTCTACTTCTTCTAATGTGTTCATTTGTTTGGGCAGTTTTCTTACACTGGCTTTTTTACTGCCTCCCCCCCCCCCTTTCCTTCTATCCTGATTTCTGATGATCTTGTGAAGTTTAAGGCTTTTTATGCCAAGATGGGTTTGAAGAATGCCCCCCCCCCAGTTGCTCTAACAGTGTTGCTATGGCATACTGTCAGCAGCTATCCCTGTTGTCAACATATTTGTGATTCTTACAAAAGGTACAGGTTGGTGATTCCTTTTGTGGCCAGTGTGTTTGACAATCTTTTTCTTCCTTTCATACTCCTTGCAGTCATGTTGTAATCAGAATCTTACTGTTTACTCATTCTGCCTCATAGACAACAGTATGCTTCACATCCCTCCTGCTTTCATTTGTTTGTTAAAATTGTGTGTATGTGTGTGTTAATGTCCTAGTAGAAATGTGAGTGTATGCACAAAATCTACAAAGATATCTTATTTCAAAAGTTGATTCCATATTTATTCAGAGGACATGCCACCCTCAACCAGAGGAGTGGGGGGAATCAAAACCCAGAATTGTGTTGGAAGAGAGAATGGACTAGTAGTTGGAACCTAAAAATACCCTCTCAGTGTCTAGTTTGAGTAGTAACTATACCACACTGCAGAGCACTGGGAATACATGGCCCTCAGCATTACTACTGTCTTTTCATAGGAACATATTGTAAAGTCCTGATCATATGTAAATTCTGATACATCTATCACAGTAACATTTCCAAGACTCCAAAATACAAAGGTGTGTGTGCGCATGCTTGCTTGCTTCTGGTGACCCCTACTGGGAGTTTGGATGTTTTTCAGAGAGGTGGATTGTTTAGCCTGTCTCTGCGTCCTGCCTCTGGTATTCCTTGGAGCTTGACCTTCCAAGTACTTGCCAGAGTCAGCCCTGCTTAGCTTCCGAGATCTGATGAGATCGGGCTTGCCTGGGCTATCCAGGTCAGGGCCCAAATGCAAATCTTTATATGAACACTGGGGGCTGAAACGGGTTGTGGTTCAGCCATCTTATGAAAGCGATTATGTAAGAATGGCCAGCTAATTTGATTTTATCAAAGGCGATTGGCAGCTTACCTCGACAATATTCTTCTTAAAGCTACAGTTCTGAAGCAGATGCGGGGATCACTCAGATACATATAACCCTTGAAGTACTGGGAGGTGAATCTAGGCACACACTTTAAGAAAGAATGGGGGA